TAATTTTTGTCAAAACAACCTTATTGAATGAAAACCGTTAGTTGACTAATGGTCAACCTGCGTTATTGAAGTGACATTTTTATATATGTTCAGTTGATGACATGGCATGTATCATGTTACTAAAAGTGATGATGTGATATATGTCAGATACATATTAAAATATCACATCAATAATATAAGTTGATCGTTAATCAATTAAATATCTATCTAACAAAGTCTGTTTTAATCCAAAGCTGAAACGTTAATGATAAAATACTCTAAAAAATAAGATGCAAAATGACTATCTATGCAAACGTTGGGATAACTTTATCATTACAAAAAAAAGGTAAAGTACACAAATAATCCCTTAACTATAGGATGCTATTTTGTTGAGTCTCTTGATTATTAAAAGTTACAAAATGGTCTTCTAACTATAGAGAGTTGCTTTATTGAGTCCCTCAACTATTAAAAGTTACAAAATGGTCACCTAACTATTCATTATGTTCCAAACTCATCATTTTTTTCGTAAAAAAATTAACACTAATATGAGTTTGACATTAACATGCTGGTTGGGTTGGGATATAATATGATCTCATAATTTTAAATGACTATCATATATCAGTTAGCATGTTAACATCTAGCTCAAATGATGGTTAGTTTTTTAACAGAAAATGACAAATTTGAATCATAATAAATAGTTGAGTTGCCAATTTGTAATTTTTAATAGTCAATAGACTCAATAAAATATTATCCTATAGTCGAGGACTATTTGTGTACTAACAAAAAATATAAGTTTGTTTTTTAAAGATAGTGCATGAAATGTGGGGTGCGTCCGATAACGGATGAAATGAGAGCTCGTAGGGCGGTAAGGATTAAGGGATTAGATTGATTGATTAATTAGTTAAATAAAGGGCAAACCATGAAGACAAAATTTAGGATATTAAAAGTAATGATGCTTTTGTTGGTAATTTGATTTTGTACGTCAAAGTCCTTTAGGCGGCGTTTGGTTTGTTCGAATGTTTCTGAAGTAATTGAAATTTATGAAGGAATTATAATCTGAATTGAAACCTGTTTGGTTGGCAGGAAATTGAATTGGAATCCAATTCCATATTCTGTTTGGTTTGCAGACATGTCAGATGAATTTGATTTCAGTAATGTAAAATGACAGAATTGCCTTTCTTGTTTTTTTTTGCTTAATTTTAGTTTGTTTTATAACTTACACGTAGCAATATATTATAAAAATTTTAAAAAAATATAAAATTTTCATTTTATTGATTGATTATTCATTTCAATAAATTATAAAAATCATACTAATAAACATCATAAGTTAAAATCATCTCAATTAGGGATGGTCATGGGTCGGGTTAGGTCGGGTTTTTGGTCCACCCGACCCGAGAACAAGGGAACCTTCACCCGAGACCCGACCCGAAATAATAAAAAAATTTTATTTTTATTCAATAAAAATAATGACTTAATTGATAAAAAAATATATAAAGGGATATTATTGTAATTATTCCTAAATATATAAGATAAAATTATATATTTTTTTGGGTCGGGTATTTTTCACCCTAAACATGAACCCGACCCGAATATCACACTTAAAAAAACCCGACCCGAAATTTTTTAAAAAAATCCGACCCGATCCCGATTTTTTTTTTGAAAAAAACCGACCCGACCCGAATATCACACTTACAAAAACTCGACTCGAATATCAAACTTTAAAAAACCCGACTTGAACCCTAATTTTTTTTAAAACTCCGACCGATCCTGAATTTTTTTAAAAAAATCTTATCCGAATATCAAAAGATTGATGAGGGTAGTATGGTCAAATTTCACATTCTCTCCTCCAAAGGATTTCAATTTCATCTTGTTATGGATGAAATTTACTTTCCCTCCCTTGATGGAATTGGATTCCAATTCCCCTTTTGAAAACTTGAACCAAACATGAAAAGTGGTGGAATTAGATTCCAATTCCTCCTAATTCCAAGAGATTCCAACGAACCAAACGCCACCTTAGTGAACCAAAAAGAAAAATTTGGAGAGTGGATTTTTTTAAATTAATTATCGGTATTCGATCTATGATCAACTAATCCAAATCAAGTATTACAGAGGCTTTTGACGATCTTTCAACCCAGTTTGCTCTATTTTCAAAAGTTATGATTCAAGCCCATTGTTTTGCTTAAGGAATCTAATACATTATCACACTAGATTAATTGGTTGTTGGTTGGAGCGTGGAATTTTGTTTATACTAATTATTTTTAATAACATTTGTATATATTAATTCAAATAAAATTATCAATACGAACTAAGTGATTTATTGATAAATGAATTATTATTATTCATCTAGGTAATAAGTTTAAGTATTATGAATTTTAGGGTCTGATCGTTCGATGTCAAATGTTTAAAAATTATTTTTTTGAACAAATATTATCTTATACTTAGATTAATTAATTTATATATATATAGTTATCAGACAAAAGAATTAAAATATTAAATGTCTACATAAAATACACTTGATATTTGAATTTTTGAATAATGTAGCTTAACGAGAGTGCATACTTCTTGGTAATAAAGTAGTATTTTTTAAACTCATTTTTGTAAATGTCAAGAAATATAATATTATTAATAAAATTATATAAATATATAATATTCGAAAATAAAATTATAAGAATATAGTATAAAAGATTAAGATTAACTTACGCATAGTATAAAATTTTTAATTTTATATATATTTTAGTATATTTACTACTGTTAATTTCAATATTCTATTTACATTCATCTAACAATCTTAAAAATGATATAAAACAAAAAAAATTGCATAATATAAATGGATTCAGACTTTAATATAAATTGATGGAATTATGTGGTTGTGCTCAGGGATGGGCAAGGGTTGAATTGGGTTGAACAGAAACCTGACCCAGTCTAAAAATTATACACGCTTTACCGACTCGAATTCAATCCGATTTTTTGAGATAAAATCAGAACACGACCCGACCCAACATGAAATAATATATTTATAAAAAATATTGCTTTTATTTAATTAAAAAAAGGGTTTTAACTAAACTAAATAATATATAAAGAGGTATTATTGTAATTATTCATAAATATATAAGATAAAATAACTTTTTTTTAGGTCGGGTCGGGTTGAATATTTTTTACCTTAAACCCGAACTCGATCCGTCCTGAACATAACTTCTAAAAAACCCGACTCAACCCAATCCAAACTCATTTTTTAAAAAGAATAATCCGATACGATTTTATCGGATCGAATCAAAATCTATCGGATTCGAGTCTCGTTCCTATCCCTAAAACATCTAATTATGTTGTAGCATGAGCAATCAGAAAGAGGGTCCTAATGTCTGTTGTGCTAGTAGGAATCTATCAAAATCAACCTCCAATTTGTTAACACTTTAATTTCATATTTTCCTACATTTAACTAACCAACTTTGATTGTAATTAATTAGCATGCCCATACGTCTCCGAGCGTAAATGCGGGAGATAAGCTATTGTGCCTAATAACCAAATATTGCCTTATATTTAGAAAACATGATGTGGTTTTGAAAATGATGTCGACTTATTCAAGGAACTACCAGTATTCACCCCTTAGCACGATCGCGGGAGATATACTATTAATTCCTTAATAAGTGAACAATACCTTAGATTTGTAAAACAATGCAATCAAACAAAATGTTTATGAGAATATCATGCGAAATTAACTATCATGGGACATCTAGATGCAAACATCAAGTCTTGTAAAATATAAGTATATATATATTAAAACATAGAATGACTACTTCAAACATACACACGTTCTTTAACATGAATTTTTATATTAAATAATATGCATAAGTTATCAAAAATATAATAACTTAAAGGTAAACTTATAAACATCTTAACATAACATCCATGATATTTTCCATATCAACAAATTAATTAGTTATACACAATTAAATACATTAAAAAAAATGCTCATGAAATTAACATACACATGCGCATAAAAAAAACCGTGACATGAATTAAAAGATAACATACTTAGAAAATAATGAACTTTGCCTAATAACCAAATATTGCCTTATATTTAGAAAACATGATGTGGTTTTGAAAATGATGTCGACTTATTCAAGGAATTACCAGTATTCACCCCTTAGCACGATCGCGGGAGATATACTATTAATTCCTTAATAAGTGAACAATACCTTAGATTTGTAAAAACAATGCAATCAAACAAAATGTTTATGAGAATATCATGCGAAATTAACTATCATGGGCACATCTAGATGCAAACAATCAAGTCTTTGTAAAATATAAGTATATATATATATTAAAACATAGAATGACTACTTTCAAAACATATACACACGTTCTTTATAACATGATAATTTTTTTATATTAAATAATATGCATAAGTTATCAAAAATATATACATAAAACTTAAAGGTAAACTTATAAACATCTTAACATAACATTCATGATATTTTCCATATCAACAAATTAATTAGTTATACACAATTAAATACATTAAAAAAATGCTCATGAAATTAACATACACATGCGCATAAAAAAAAACCGTGACATGAATTAAAAGATAAACATACTTAGAAAATAATGAACTTCGCCAATAAACAATAACTCATGTATCATAAACATACTCATACTTTAGGTACTAAAGTCACAATTTACCCATTAACAAACGGAGGTCTAAAATGTAACTAAATAATATTACAAGCCTTGTAATTCAGAATAAACTCTACATACATGGGATTAAAATAAAATACTTCGAAAATAGCATGCCCAATGCGTAAATTAATGAAGATTTAAATTATCTAAGACTAAGGGCTAAAACGAATTACACAAAAACATGGGAACTACCAACAGAAACTAAAAAAACACTTAAAGACAGGAATGGAATACCTGGAAACTCAAACGATTAGTCACATAATTTACCCCTTCTTTTTTTGCAAAACACGTGAATTAATATATATATTATTTTAATCATAAACTAAACCTAGCCTAATTGTAAACTACCCTCAGCCGCATACCCTCTTATTCCTTCAACTCTCTCTTTTCCACTCTTCCTATCTTCTTCTTTCAACCCTCACCCTATCTCTTAAATGGCAGCGATCTCCTCCACGATGACTCCAATCTTCTCCGGCGAAGACCCAAACACAACAAGGTAATCTAGATCGAAACTATATTTCACTCTTTATTTTATATTTTTTCTTGATTCGATCTAACCTTCTGGAACACAACACCGCCGAAGATACTTGAGAGAGCCACAAAGAGATCTAAAAGACCTTAAAGCCCGACTCTTTTCACAACAACCCTCGAAACCAAAGACCAACAGTTAAGAATCGAAGAATGGCCAAGAATTCCGACCCCTAGCTTCTAATTCGGCGAGAAGAAATGACAACTAATGGTAAAAAAATAAACTCTCTTTTCTTTACCGTTTATTTCGAATGGCTGAAGATGATGTTTTGTTTTTACTGTTTGTTTCTCCTTATTTTTGCTGTTGATGGGTTCCTGATGGTCACCGTCGAATTTTTGGTTGCTTTCTGTAAAAAAAACTAAGAGGAGAAGACGTATAGCTTCGTGTAAAAATAAAGAAGAAACAACCTCTATTTTTCTGTCTTTTCTGCGAAAATGGGTGCAGAACCCCCAATACATTGCTTTCTAAACAAAATCCAATGGGAAGTAGAAGCCCTGTCCTTTTTTCTTTTCGAATGGAAAGGATCAGAACCCCTATCCCTTTTCGGTTACAATTGCTTCCCCCATGTTCGATTTCCCTTAAACTGTTTTTTTAATCGGGTAGCAGAAACTTCTCTCCCCTGTGTTTTATTTTTCTCTCGAATCGTTACCCCCTCTCTATTTGTTAACTGCCCCCCCAGTTGTTAACTTCTCCTCCTCCTCTGCTCGAATGATTCCCTCCTTTTTAGCTTTCAGCCTCCACCGAATCCTCTGTCGTTGTATGTTAATTTTCTGTGTTTTTGTTGAGATTTGGTTGGAGCAGGTGAATATTTAGGCGTATGCAATGACGATTTCTAAAGATTTGGGTGCGTGCTGCAAGGGTGTGGTATTTGGGTTTCAAGTTGGGTCATGAAATTGGGTTGATGTTGAGTTTTGTAATGGGCTTTGAAATTTATTTTTGTATTTGGCCTGCGTGTAAATTAATAATAATAATAATAATAATAATAAAATATTAAAAGACATGACGAAAAATGAGTGACGACACTTACAATTTTAGATATCATTGCATCAACATAAAATATTACGTCTGGACTTACTCGTCATAATCCATGAGGATATTATCTCAACTGAATTCACACTTGCATTCTGTTTTTTAACTTTCAAAATTGTATGCAAAAAGGTCAACATGAAACATATACTCCAAAATCCTGAATCAAAGTTAGACTTCCACCTAATTTCATATCCATTTTAAATACAATACTTAAATAAATTTAAGAATTAAACTAATAAAAATATATCAATCACTTAAAATGATTTGTTGAATTAACTTTAACAAATACAAAAGTTTACATAAAATATTTTCATTCATGGATTTGTATTTATAAAAGTTGTGGGAAGCAAGATTGTTTTTCTTGTAGTGCATATTTTGGATTTGGTATTTAAGTTGGTGGTAGGATTAGGGACGGATTCATAATTTTATATTAGAGGGATGAATTTATAAAATTTTAAGACGACGAAAATAAAATTTTAATAAAAAATATAATTTTTTTAAAATATATAAAATTTTGAAATTTTCAGGGAAGACGACGGCTGCCATCCTCCCCTTCAATCCATCTTTAGGTGAAACAACAAACAGTGGGATTAATATGGTAAAATGGGGTGATTAAAATCCAAAATTTGAGGGAAATTAGTTTAGCAAACATGACGTAGTATGCATGCAGTTGAAACACAAATGAATAAATCTGCTGACGGAGAAGTGGAACAAGTATTATAAATGAAACGGTTAATTGAACCAATCCAACTGTCAAATATTAAGAATGCTGATTAGTTGAGGTCAACCAATCTTACTCAAGCGATGGAATTGACGAACCGTTAAGTGGTTTTAGTGATTCTCTTTAAAGATATTGAGTTCGAGCAGTTGAGTGTACATAGTGTGTATCAATTGATTAAAAAAATTCTGAATAAATGCTATATTATAATTATCTCAAATTATTAAAAAAATAAAAAAATAATGGAATTGGCATTTATTGTTATTAGTTTCTTCCATACAATAATTTGTCAAATTAAAAAAAATAAAAATAAAAAATAACGGAATTGACTATTTTTTAAAATGAAACCCCTAGAATATTTATAATAAGAATTAATTTGCCAAATTTAAAATTATGAAGGATATATGAAGTCTTTTTACCAAAATTCATCATGGAAAACGATTATTATGAAAAAAAGATTAAAAATACTGTCAAATTTTTTTTACAACTTTTTTATCATTTTTTCGAGAATAAAACAGAAAGTTTGTTTTTCCTTTGAACAAAAATGTCAGGTCACAAAAGTTATATATGAATAGGCCTGAATAACATTCGTGATTCCCAAATTTTAAGACCTTGCAGGTCACACTTATACATGGAGAGATATGTGAATAAAACTGTCAAATCTTCACCAACTAACATCTTTGAATAAATCCTTTCATTAAACGGAACCTTCAAAGAATCTATATGCCCAACTACACAAGTATCATGACCAATTGATACTCCAAAACATCAGTATTTTATTTAAATTTGGATGTTAAACATCTAAATAACTTTGATTTCGATAGAAATAAGAGGAACTAGAAAACTAATCCCACAAAAGATGAATGATAAACTACGATGTAAGGCAAAATAAAGAAGAAATTAGAAAGGGAAATTAAGTTATATATATATATATATATATATGATTGCATGCAAAGGCAGTAAAGTAGTGTAGGAGATAGTGTTTTTGATGCTTAGAAATGTTGTAGACAGGATCATAGTGTTCCCTTTAAACTAGCTAGCAGGAGCAACTTGGTCACATGTTAAAAGCTTGTAATTAAAATGTCAAAAACTAATATTCATTGATTGGTCAACCTAATCAATGATATTTATGTTGTCTTATCTTGTGTGCTACCAGCAACATGCTTTGTTTTCGTGGATTTTGCTAGCTCTGAGATTAGGTTCGGCTTTCAGGTTTTCCAGTATAATGGTTCTCCATGATTGATTTAGAGATAGATTGAAGGCTATGTTAGCAGTATACTTAGAAGCTTCCTGAAGATGAAGCTGTTATAACAGCTAAGGTTGTTAGCAAGTTAGTTTTGTTAGTTTTGGTTAGTTGCTCGGTTAAGGTGGTTGTATTAGCAGCTGATACAACTAAGAGTAGTAGTATATAAGGAGCATCAATCTTGTACTCAAACACACATTTTACATAATAGCAATATCTAGATTATATTCCCCTGTTATTCACATTTCCAATATGGTATCATTTGCCAAACGATCCTGACTTTATTTTGTTTTCTACCGCTGTATGGAAGAGGAGGAGAAAATGTCATCGACAGCGGCAACGGCTGCTAAACCGGTGTCGTTCACATCCAAGCCGATCCAGCAAATGGTGAGCTTCATCTGCCAAGAAGCGGAGGAGAGAGCTAACGAGATCTCTGTTTCAGTTGATGTAACATCAGTTTCATTTTGTTTCTTTACGGTGAGGAAGAAGAGGGGTTTGGCAAAAGGAATCAAGAGTGCAATTCCTAGAGTTCAAACGAACAATGTACCAACAAGATGGTCACTCGCAGAGATAAAATCAGCTACAATGGGGTTTCATAAGAGTCGAATCATCGGTAAAGGTGGTTCAGCAGTTGTTTATAAAGGTTATGTTCCGTCGACTGGAACTGTCGTGGTGAAGCGATTTGATCAGTTCAACGGAAAAGCATTCACTCGTAATCTTTTCAACACAAAGTTTGCCATTATGTCCGGTTGGCTAAACCACTGTAACTTGATTCAGCTTCAAGGATGGTGTTGTGAGGAATCTGAGTTGGTCTTGGTCTATGAGTACTTGTCCAATGGAAGCCTTTACCAACACATTCACAAAACCTCAGTTTCATCAACAACTACCCTTTCATGGAGCTTGAGATTAAAGGTAGTTCTCAAGGTTGCTTCTGCTCTTTCAATTTTACATGAAGAATGTGAAAGACATATAATACACAGAGATGTGAAAACTTACAACATCATGCTTGATGACGAGTTCAATGCCAAGCTCGAAGATTTCGGTTTAGTCGAAGTGTACGAACATTGTTGCGCTTCAAGAGATGCAACGATACCAATCGGGACGATAGGATATCTGGCACCCGAGTACGTTTATACCGGTGTTCCAACTGTGAAAACCGACGTTTACAGCTTCGAAGTGGTTGTCCTGGAGGTGGCTACGGGAAAGAGGCCCGTGGATGAGAATGGAACCGTGTTGGTTGACTGGATTTGGGACCTGTGGGTGAAAAAGAAACTAATTGAGGGCGTTGATTCAAGAAAGTTGTATAGGTACAATGTTTTAGATATGGAAAGATTGTTTGTGAGAACACCTTGGATGCACGGTTGTATGTTGTATTCAATAAAAAGCTTCCAGAGATACGCAAGTGGCTCTTTGGTCAGGTTGGTGCTTGAAGGGTAGATGTTGAACAGAATCCAGTTTCTATACTGGTGCCAATGGCAAGGCTATCACCGCTATTTCTGCATAGTAGTATATTTCTTTTGTGTGTGTAAACAGAAGTTTAATTTTGTATTCATTTTGTTACTTTTGTTGCTTCTATCTCAAAGTGTCATGGGACTTGAAAGCTTCACAACTAAGAGTCCATAAAAAAAATTCAAGGAACCTTGTAAAAGAGGATGAAGAAGAAAGAAATGAAGGTGAATAAGAAGTACGACAGGAAGCATCAACACTTTCGATTCAAAGTGAACGGAAGGAAGCATCGGCACTTTCGATTCAAGAAGAACGAAAGGAAGCATCGACACTTTCGATTCAAAGTGAACGGAAGGAAGCATCAGCACTTTCGACTCAATTGTTCATCTTTTCAATTGTTCAGCTTTTGAAATGTTTCGTGACAAGATTGGAGTGCAAGTCTGTTCACGATCAGGAGAGGAGCAGAAGAAGAAGTAGAGAGAATGTTAGCAGTATACTTAGAAGCTTCCTGAAGATGAAGCTGTTATAACAACAAAGGTTGTTAGCAAGTTAGTTTTTGTTAGTTTTGGTTAGTTGCTCGGTTAAGGTGGTTGTATTAGCAGCTGATACAGCTAAGAGTAGTAGTATATAAGGAGCATCAATCTTGTACTCAAACACACGTTTTACATAATAGCAATATCCAGATAATATTCCCCTGTTATTCACATTTCCAATAGGCTAGTCGTCTCTCCCTAAAAAAATTATGTTATTATATATTTTAGATATTTTTATTTTTTATTAATTATATGTTTTCGTGTTTAGAATTTTGAAAACCATAGATGTACTCTAATGGGCTACAAGAGAATAATTGAATTTTTAAATTTCAATTTTTTTAAACATATACTTTTTTTGATATTAAATAAATTGATCTCCTTTTATAAAATGGGTTAACAGATAATATTAAACTCTTAAACATGTTTAATTCTACATCCTTTTATATAGTGTACTCGTGACAATATCAATCCATCTAAACCCAATCAATAATAAATATAAATAATATTGAATTATATAATATAAGAGTTGATTGTATTATATGTCTCTAAATTATAATTTTCATTTTAAATTGGTCGTTCACATTTCTAATTGCATCCTTAAATTATAACTCTCATTCTAAAATAGTTCTTAAACTTTTGAACATTCTAATTTCATACCTAAACTACAAACCTCTTGCCAAATTGATTCACAAACTTTTGACTATTCCAATTTTATCCCCAAATTCATGCAAATATGTAATTAGTTCCAACCATAATTTAACCTAATTTTTGTTTTTTATGATAATATAAATTGGCCTAAGTATTTTATTAACAGGGGATGTGATTAGTACATTCATATATTTTGGGATGAAATTGGAATGTTCAACAAGTGTAGGGACTAATTTAGAATGAATGTCATAGTTTGGGGATGAAATTAAAATATTCAAAAGTTTGAGGACTAATTTAAAATGATAGTCATAATTCAGAGATGAAATTGAAACATTTAAAAGTTTAAAGACTAATTTAAAATAGGGGTCATACTTTGAAGACATGTGATATAATTAACTCATAATATAATAGATTTTTTTTACTATAATTCATCACCTCAATAAGTGATGAATATATACTATAATAAACTGCTTTGGTTCGACCAAAGCAAAATGAAAAAAAATCACCAATAGGAATTGATTTAAGTGGCTTGATTTAAGTGGCAAGTAACTTGATATCGCTTAAGCAACGTTTTAAATTTCAGTCCTTGTGTATGCACAAAATTTCTGCTGGGAGACTCACCTACGAAAACTAAGTGAGTGACATGAGTCGATCCGGATTAGTCAAAACGAAATCTTGAAGCCGAAAGGAGAATCAAAGAAAAAAAAAAAGAAGGAAAAATATCCAAACATGAAGCATACAATATTGTGTTCATGCACTCTTTACTGATAAGACTGTTTAAAGGGTACCATAAGAAAGTAAGTCATAAGCAAACGATATGAGATCACAAAACCACCGCAATATCCAAATATTTTTAAAGCAAAGGATCATTGGTCTTCAACTTCAAGGCTTAGTAGCAGCCAAGGTGTTTCCAATATCGATTACGAATCTGTACCGGACATCAGCCTTCTCGAGTCTCTCCATCGCTTTATTCACATAATCCATCGGAATAACTTCAATGTCTGCTTTAATGTTGTGTTTCGCTGCGAAATCAATCATCTCCTGTGTCTCCTTCATTCCTCCGATACCGCTTCCGGCCACTGTCTTCCTTCCTATGAGCAATGAGAAGACTGGTATCTCGAGTGGCTCAGACGGTGCGCCGACCATGATAAGTTTCCCGTGCGATTTTAGAAGACCGAGGAGTGGCATAATTGGATGACCGGCAGAGACCGTGTCTATAATTCCATCAAATGTGCCCATCGCAGCCTGTTCGAACCCGAAAGTGAAAACAAATGAATTCCGATTTTCGTTTTAGCGAAAAATTATGTGTCATTGTACACAAATTACCTGTAGTTCGGCTTGGTCACGGCTAACCAAAAACGAGTCAGCACCAAGATGTTCGAATGCTTCAGCTTTCTTATTAGGGGAAGTGCTAATTACCGTCACTTTACATCCCATAGCCTTGGCAAATTTAACAGCAACATGACCGAGACCACCGAGGCCAACGATGGCAATATGTTTTCCATGTTCACCTAATCCAAAATATTTCAAAGGACTGTAAACAGTGATTCCAGCACATAGCAATGGAGCTGCAGAGTCGAGGGGAAATCCGTCGGGGATCCGAACGATATAGCGTTGATTGGCGACCATCGAATCTGAATAGCCACCGTATGTCATGGTTCCGTCGTAGTAAATACCATTGTAGGTCAATATGAGTTTAGGGCAGTAATTTTCAAGGTCGTTGGCACAACTGTCGCAGTTGTGGCAAGCTCCAACCATGCATCCCACACCCACTTTATCTCCCACCTTAACCTTTTCCACTTTGCTGCCTACTTCAGTCACTTCACCTACTATTTCATGCCTGCAAATTATTACCATTAGAATAGTAAAAATAGGGAAATGAGATTAATTTTGTTTTTTTGAGTGAATATTTTTTTATTTTTTACCGTTAATTTTAATTATCTATTTTTATTCATCCAATTATCTTAAATCTGTGTAAAACTAAAAAAAATACATGTGTAATTGCTTATCCCATATATATAGGAGCATGATCCACTTATATAATATAAAACTTTTTAGTTTTATACGTTTTTAAGATCATGTGACGAGTAAAATAGATGATTGAGATTAATAGTAGAAAATAAAAAAAATATCCATTATAAAAAAAACAAGGAGATTATCTCAATCATATATTTTTACTCATCCAACGATCTTAAGAATATATAAACATTTAAAAAATGAGATAATCTCAACCATCTATTTTTACTTTTTTGTTTTACACATATTTAAGACTAGATGAATAAAATAAATGAATGAGATTAACTCATTTTTTTTAATAAAAATCTTCTCATTTACTACTATTAATCTCAAACATTAATTTCCACTCCTCTAATATTCTTAAATCTTCATCTTAACTCATCTCTCTCTCTTTCTCTAAATATATATATATATATATATATATATGATATATGTGGGCCTTCTTGATTCCATATAGCTACTTTAGGCAAAATATAAACGACAGGTTTAGTTTTCTGCACTAAAATGAAGTGGATGTAATTGTGCATCATCAGTTTTGAATGGTTTTATGAGAGACAAGTGTTTCATTTCACGCCACTCCCATAACATGAGGCCCAAATATAATTGCCATTTATCATCATAATAAACCCACCAATTTTTGTATAGCAGTTTACAATATCTTATTGTATAAATTGGGATAGTGTTAAATATTTAAATTAAAAAAGGGTAAATTTTGTATTTAGTACCTAAACTATCAATTTTGATCCATTTTATACCTAAACTTTAAAATTTTTAAAAGCATACCTAAAATTTACTTTTTGTTTCATTTTAATACCATATCGTTAAAAACTTAACTCGTTTAGTACCTAAACTACGGTTTTGATCCGTTTTAATACCTAAATTTTTAATTTTTTCAAAACTTAAGTATGATTTAGGTACTAAACGTGTTTTGGTAACTAGACTTTTATATTTTTTTCAAAACTTAACGGCGAGATACTAAAATAAAACAAAAACTAAACTTTAGGTATAGTTTTAAAAAAATTAAAAGTTTAGGTACTAAAACAGATCAAAACTGATAATTTAGATACTAAATCCATAATTTACCTATTAAAAAATTAAAAATGATAAATATTTTTAATTAATTAATATTTAAACTAAAAAGATATAAAATATTATTATACTAAAATATTTTATAGGAGCAACAGTTATTCTTATACAAAGAATGACTTCGTCCCTGTATATATATTAATGGTTATTTCTTTATATTATTAATGGTTACTTTTCAAAGTAAATTATAATATTTTTACTCTAAATTAAAACATACATCACTGCACCAATAATTATTTGATCTATTAAGATGAGACCTTAGATTCTTTAATTAAGGTTAGAAGTTTGAATCTTGATGTTTGAGAATAAAGTAAACTGAGTTAAGAGGGTCGCTCTTATATCTGTAATATCTTATTTAGATTAATCGATCAATAGATCAAATACAAAACATTAATTTGAGGATGAATGATATTTGTTAGGTAAAATGTTAAGTGGGTGGGGTAGTTTCTATTGCCTTTTAAATTAAATAGACAGATTCCAGGCTCCACCACGCTTTTATCATATTATAGTTTTTAAGAGTTAAAATAGATGAACTTTTAAAAAAATTAAAACATTTTTAAAAAAATTGAGAAGATAATTTTTTTGTTCTTCCGGTTCTCAAGGCTTTTTATTAATTAATTCGGATCGATCCGGGTAACACACCTAACTTTCAGCTCTTAAGGCTTTATCTTGATTAATTCGAACCGATTCGGATTGCACACCTAACTTTAGTTAGAATAAAGATAATTTTAATAGTAAAAAGAGAACTACAAATAAAGACATACGTGAGAATAGAGATGAGTACAGGAAGAGACAATCATTTTCTCTAAAAATTTAAAATTATTATATATTTTTTATTTTTTATGTGTTTTTTTTACTGAAAAATTATTTTATTCCCCTAGAATTTATAAAATTCTGCCTATATATATATATAAAACTTGGAATTTGGAGAGTACTGAGTATAGATTGAGTTATGATTTGACTTAGATATCATGACTAACGGATTATGTGTTATAATTGACTCGATATCATGCATGATTAATAGATGTTTTTGTTATTTCTATTTTATTATTTAGATCAATTGATTAATAAATTGAATATTGATACTTAAATAAAAAGAAAAAAGAAAAAAGAGAAGTAAAGAAAAACAGACCCTGGAACCAAAGGGTATTTGGAGAAGCCCCATTCATTCTTGATACTGTGAAGGTCTGAATGACAAATCCCACAATACAAGACCTTGAACCGAACATCTTCCTCTCCACTTGCTCTGCACTCACCAATTCAACCCCAAACATGTTAAACAAATTCAATCTAAAAGAACCCATTAAGTGGTGATCAAAATAGAGCGTTATTCTCCCTTGAGATCTTGAGTTTGAGCAGTTTCGTTTATAGGGTATGTGCGTTATCAATAGTTAAAACAGATTATGGACGTAAACTACTATGTAATCATCTGCTTTAAAAAAACGAAGAAAAAAAGATGTGAAATGGATCACCTTCTAGAGATGTTGAAAGGAGAAAGATGACCAGAAGTGTCCCTCGCAGCCCAGCCAAAGGCCTTGATGGGGTGCTCTTCTTCCGGTGGCTTTGCCATTTTCAGACCCAAAGGATGATGATAAGCAAAGAGAGGAGGATGGTAGAAGAAAGATCTAGTTGCTCTTACATGCTTTTATGGGCATTTATAGGACATGTAAAACCTCAAATTTAGTAAAGATTAACCTCTTAAGGTAATTTAAATTTCAAATTTAGTAAATATTAATTTTATGGTATTCAGATTTATTAAATATTAACTTTAAAGGTAAACAAAATCTCAAATTTAGTAAATATTAACTTTTTAAGGCAAATATCAAATTTAGTAAAAATTTCCTTTTTAGCTAAATTATTATTTATTATTATTATTTTTGAATTCTCTAGTATAAGTACAAGGTAGTATCTGTTTAAAGATAATTCTCAACCATATGCTGATGCTCGAACCCAGTATATTAAGAAACAACAACAACAACTCTTTTACCACCGATGTATTTTTCAAGAAGAAATAAATCAAGTTATAGAGCTTATAGAAAGAGATAAATATAGGAAAATTCTAGAATTGATGTCAAATATTGATGCACCGTTCATTTTATAAGGTAAAATTCATAAATAAACATTAAATCATATCAAAAATGATCTTTTTAGATACAAAACTTTCAAAAGTTATATAATAGACATTAATTTTTTGATTTTGTTATAAAATGGACACAACATCATTATCTATTATTAAAGATGTGTTGTGACATGTTAAATTAATAGAAAATATCTCATTTGACCCTTTAGTTGTAACTAAAATTTTATTTTACTATTTGTTTTAATTAAAATAATTTTTATTATATTAATTGAATTGAAAAAATGGATATAAATAAATTAAATATTTTTTTAGTATCATATTATAAATATTGAATTTATACCGTATAAATTACTTGATACATTATTACAAGTTAAGGATTGTTTCGATTATTTTTATTCAAGTATGGAAGCATTTTTCTTTCTAATGTGATACAATAATTTTCTTAATGTGATACAATAATTTTTCTTTTTGATTAGGGGTGAAATTAAAAAATTAGGCCCCTAATTCAAAAAATTAAAAAATATGTAATATAAAATTTTAATTAGAGTTTGTGGGAAGTGGAACTATTTATAAACATTAATATACAAAATTTAATAATTAAAATTGACACCTTAATAACTTTATGATCCCATTATTTTATTTTACATTTAAAAAGACATTATTTTATTTTATAGTTTTTTAAATTTCTTGTCAAAAATAAAAGAAAATATCATACTAATAATATTTTTAATTTGTGGGCTTTGGGTGGGCGCCCCTTTTGTCATGGCCTAGGACTGGCCTTGCGTTTGGTTTTTGTATTGATTGTATGTACTCTTTTCCTTCACTTAGATTTAGAGAGGATTTTAATGAGGCATACAATCAGATGAGGAACTTTAGATTTCTATTAAAATCAACTTGATGAGAAAAAAAGATCAAACTCGATAAGCCCTACCAATTTGTAATAATTTAAGCACGATGATAACATATGTAAAATAATCACAAAATAAAAAAAACCAAGATTTAACATAAAAAATTATTTCAGAAAAATTCACATACAGAAGAGGAAAATTTTCACTAATGTAAAACAAGAAGAATACACGAGAAATTTCAGAAAACAACTTGAATTTTAACCATAATCCCTAGCATCTATTTATAAGGATAATTACTTGGTTACAAATCAAACTTATTTATTAAAAATGTTATCTTAAGTAGATTTTCTATTATTAATAAATATAAAAGAAAATAAGCTTTTCATTTACGATCAAATTAGATTTTTTACCTTCCTCGGTTATTTCTTGATTTTATATCTTCATTTATTTGTGTTACATTAAATTTGAGTCAAATTATAATATTTAAGTGTAGACAGTGCTTTTCGTCCCGATATCAATATTATTATTATTATTTAATTATATTTTTATTACTGGGTTCGAGTCATCCAAGTCCAAGTCTAGTGGCTCAGAGGGAGTCCCTCCCTCCGACCGGTATGAAGGGTGAACTAGGAGGTCCTATAAAAGACACCCATACTTGCAACAAAAAGGAAGCAACAAAAAAAACAACAACAAAAAACATCAACAACAGAAGAATCAAAAATCGAAACTAAAAATAAAAAAATCTATCAATTTAAACCCCAAAATAATGATCCCTCCAGTCAAGATCTTTGCTGATCAGCAAGGAACAATATAACCAAAGCAGGGCTCCATCCGAAGGTGGGTTTGACGGCGATGAAAGGTAGACTTTTCGTTTTCCATTTTTGTCCTCTTTTGTAGATCTAGGATTTTAGGGGTGTTTTTGGGTGAAAACAAGGACAGATTCGGGTTGGGGAGAGCAAGGCGAGTATTTTGGGTAATTTTTAATGTTTCCAGCCACCATGGACGGTGGTCAGCGGTGGTCACCATTGCCGATGTATGGCGGTCGATCGAGTTCTCCATAACCGGAGAAGGAAGAGAGAAGAGAGAAGAGAGAAGAGAGAAAGGAGATAATTTCTTTCTCTTTAAGATGAAGAAAGAGAGAAAGAAAGAAATGAGGGGAATAGTTGGTGAAACCTTGATGTTTACCTTATATGCTCGGCTCGAAACGACGTAGTTTCGGGGAGTGACCAGAGAGCATTTTTTCGCGTGGGGGTTAATTCGTCTTAGGTCCCCTAAGATTTGTAACTTTTTGTTTTAATCATTTAATGAAAGTTCTATATTTTTGTTTTGAGCTTATGTTTTTCCATATTTATGATTAAGTCACTGTCCTAAATGTTATGTTGATATTCGATTTTGGCTGATGTATTTGCAAATCTTACAGTTTAGTCATTGTTTATGCATGGATGTCTTTGGGTAAAATGACCGATTTTCCACTCTAGTTATTGTTTATTTTAATTTATATTTTGAATTTGTCGTGTATTCCATTTTAATCCCTTCTGGCTTGTTATTTAGTTTTATATTCGAGTACCTTATTTTAGAAATTTCTATATGTTTGATATTGGTTTATTTACGATTGAAGTTCCTAACATGTAAAATATTTGCATTGTTTGCCTCGATCTCTTGTTAGTTTTATAGTTTAATCCCTAAAATTACCGTATTTATTATTTTAACCTTCTTTACATGTTTGTAATTTTTTTGCTAATTGAAATAATTTTTAAATATTATTTTATACGAGGAGTTTATGGAAACACCCCTTAACTGACAAAGAGTGTGTTTCTAAGAAGTGCTCGATTAAAATAATAACTTTTATGTTTTAAATGAATTTGTTTTTATCTATTTATGTATTTGTTTATCTAAAATTTAGGGTAATATTATTTAGTACGAGGAATCCATAAAAAATACCCCTTTAACTGAGAAGGAAGGTTTTCGAGAATTGTTCGTGCAAAATAATAACCCTTATGTTTTTTCTAAAAAATGATCATAATTTAGATATATATTCGAATTTTCCAGTTTTAATATTTAGATGATGTATAATTATTTAGGTACCAATTCCGGGCGTTTTGAGGGGTGCCAATCCTTCCTCACATGTAATCGACTCCCAAAACCTTTTTCAAAATGAATTTTTGGTTAAACACATCATATTTTTTATCTTTTAAAATTATTTTTCTTAAAATTATTTTAAACGATATTTTTAGGTATTCGACATACCTAACCCAAAGGTCGATGGCGACTCCAAAACTATTTATTTATTTTTTATTTTAAAACCCAACATTTTCCAAGATTAAGTTGGATCGATCCCTAACATAGCCCTAAAAACTTAAGGATCGTTTCGACAGCTTGGCGACTCCGCTGGGGACATTAGAGAGTCAAGTCATAATCGATTATACGTCATCTTTTTAGTTGAAAATGGTAAATATTAATGATATTTAAATTTTGATAATTAAGTTTTATTTGCATCACATCACATTTTTTTATTAGTCGTATTAATGTGATTGGTTTACGTGTTTCAGATTTCTAACCTTTTTGGTTTGATTGTTCTTGGATCCAGGCAAAGGATTGTGAGTTTCCCATCACACACGCCATAACCGTTTGACATTTAGAGCCTTCTAACTGTTTTCTGTCCCGTTAGGTAGGGGTGAACGCTACGTTTACGTGAGAAAATTATTTTTCTCCGCATGGGCTTTAGCAAGTAACTTCTGGGATACATATGCCTTACGTTTACGAGTGAAACATCGAGTTTCCTCGCATGAACACGGGGTAACTCCTCTCAAATTGAACTCGATCCATTCAAGCCTATAATAGGTTAGGATCGAGGGTCTAGCAGGCTCAAGGGAGCACCATCAAAGGATAATTTGAGAACTCTGTTAGTAGTACCGAATTTCTGCCCGTTTTATACTGAATCTCTATACGCGGTTCTTTAAAAGTCACAAAGGGGAAACTCATTCTAACATTTTCCTCAAATCTACTTATTTATTTTTGCAAGAAACATGAGAACTAGAAAATTATGCGGTTAGGTTTTATATCTCTATGCGAAGCCTGTGAACTAGAAAAATGTGGTAAGGCTTTAGTTGCCAAATAAAAGCATGAGGGTAAAATGTCGGGTAGATTACATGTGGATAAGGTTTATGATATATTTTCTTGATTATTCGAGTATTCATTGTATATACTGACACAATTTTATTTTTATTTCTTTTTTTGGTACTGTTGCATTGCATGATCATTCATTAAGAAATGTGTTGGTTCACGAAGTAGTCATCAGAGTAGAAATCAGTCATAAAACGGACAAGAATTTTCATAACAAGGAAATAAAGAATGTAGAAGTAAGGTCATGGTATGAAGAAACTCAGAGGAAGAAGGGGGATAGTCTAACTGAAGACTACATATCAGTGCTAGCAGAGGTTGCTCCTGTCAGTCTGAAGCAAAATTATCTGCAAGGACTACGTGAAATTTGGCAGAGTTGGAAATCTAATACGAGGCATGCATTCTGGCAAAAGTATGGTGACATAGCTCTTTTGTTGTATGTGAAAGTAAATGAACCCTTGATCAAAGCTTTGATCCAATTTTGGAATCCAACATATAGTTGTTTTACTTTTAACAAGGAGGACATGACTCCCACACTGGAAGAGTACACCTCCCTGTTTCATTTCG